TATATATATATATATATATATATATGTATACAAACGTGGATACATACTTACATACGTACGTGTATACACAGAGATAAAAATAGAAAAAAATAAAAAAAGAATTCTTTAGATGGTATTGGTAAGTAAAAGGAAGATGCTTGCTTCGCTGAATCTCCGGAAATTGCCATTGCATCAACCAACAGGGGTGAGGGTGAGGGGTGAGGGGAAGAAGAAGAAGAAATAGAAAATACGGTAAATGTAGAGAAATTAATGACCATAAAAAAGGTGTTGCTAAAATCTGAACATTATTGTTCAAATTCGTAACCGAAATATAATAATATTATAGAAAAACTTTTGTGTTCGAGAAGAGAAAAGGGATAAAGTTATTTAAAATAAAATAGAAAGAGATAGGGGAGAGTGGATTATTTTCTTTTACAATTAAAAGTTGTTGTTTTTTTTTTTACTTTTGTTAAATGAAAATAACGTTGAAGATATTTTTCGATGTATAATAAAAATACAAAAATGTATATATTATATTTTTTTCTTTTCTTTTGTTATTGTTATTTTTATTTTATTCAACTAAACGAAAAGTTCCTTTTCAAATAAAGAACGAAATATATAATATTTTCTTTTACAATTAGTTGTGCTTTTTTTTCTTTTGTTATAGATCAAAATAACGTTGAAGATATTTTTCAATGTAAAATAAATACAAAAATGTATATATTGTATTTTTTTCTTTTTTTTTTCTTTTGTTATTGCTACTTTTATTTTATTCAACGGAACGAAAAGTTCTATATAAAAAGAACAAAATTTATAGTTATGTATATATATGTAATTTATGTATATGAATATGTAAATGAATTAGGTAACCGAGAAAGTTTACCATGGTGTTTCCAGATATATAGAGATACATCATTTATTTCTACCGATTAAAACGGCAAGAACTTTCTTAGTTATTTGATATTATACAGTAAATGTAAAAAGTATTCATATTATTTTATCACGAGACTTTGCAAAATTATTATTTATTAATAACTAATGTCTTTTCTCTTATTAAATTAGATACAGACAAAAATAATGCATCAGATAACAAACAAATATTTCGATCGAATAATCTTTACTTATCTTTTCTTTTTATTTTTTTTTGTACTCTAACTATATTACCATAAATTAAAAATTAATTAAAAGTACAAAATTTCATATAAATATCTTTGTTTCTATAATAAAAAAAAAAAAGAAACGAAAAGATATGCAATACCCTTTACCCTTTTACCTGTTTTACACAAACATAATTCAATGTATTTTATTTATTCGTTAAATGAGAACATCTATGATAGATGAAACGAACACAGATTACATTTACGATTCATTATTCTCATGATCATCTTATAATACGACACCAATTCGTACCGACGAGTTTACTATTCTAACTCGTTCACGTTCAATAACGTATCCGCAATTTTTACCGTTATGCAACTGGCTGTAACCAACCAACGATTATAGAAGAATTTTTTCATCCTAGATAGTTGCATATAAAACACACGCACGCATACATATACACAATCGCATCGTGCACGCGGCCACAACGTAGTTAATCGCGTATGGGGAAATAAAAAATAAAAAAAAAAAAAAAAAAATAGAAAAAAAGGAATATAACGGTGCCAAGAAGACATTTTGAACCGCATATCGGTGATCGTGATCAAGACTTTATAAGTCGTACGACCAATTTCCCTGACCATTTCTTGGGTTCTTAAAGCAATTATCGAATACTGCATCGTCAGCACGTAAGAAACGAGAGATAACGAAATAGAAAGAGAAAGAGAAAGAGAAAGAGATGATAGGGTGAAGGTGAGGGTGAAGAGGGGGAATGAATGGAAAGCACAAATCCGAGGACTTTAATTCCTTTAATTCTCTTATTTTTTTTTTCTTATTTTTTTTTTTTCTATTTCTATTCCTAAAGATTACCGTTGCAATAATCTATCGATGAAAAAGAAGAAGAAGAAAAAAAAGGTTATTAACGAGACACCCTTGAAACTCAGACTTTTCTTATAAATAATATATGATTTATTAAAAAGAAAAAGAAAAAGGAAAAAAAAAGGCAACGTCATCCAGTAATAATATTAATATCACGATATAATAACCTTGCAAAAGTAATAATTATTAATTTATTCGATTCCTGGTAAGAATGAAAAAGATAATGAAAAGAAAAAGAAAAAGAAAAATAAAATAAAACAAGATTTACGTGTTTCTTATTTAAACGCGTTAATTAAATTCCTTATCCTTGGAATTGTTTTACAATAGAAGAAGAGGGGGAAGGAAAAAAAAATAATAATTATTAATTCCTCGTACACAAAGTTTATCCTCAAGGAAGATTATAATCCGAGTGATTTGCTTAGACACAGATACCAATGACAGTAGTAGTACGTTACCAACATTAAGCTAACTGTTAAACGCTCGATCGAGTTTCTAATCGTCAAACACACAACCTCTTGGTATATGTTTATATATGTGTGTGTGTATGTGTATGCGTGTGGCCGCACGATTACGTTATGGTGCATAGTTAGACGCGAGATATAGTAATGGTTCTCGCATGCATTCGCATTCGCGCACGTGGTTCCACCCTGCACAGGTTACCTGTCGATGGATAATTAGGTTCTAAGGGATAGCTCGATGCACCGCTAGATTTGGTATTAACCATCGATCGATATCTATCTATCTCTCCCATACTCGTTTATTTAACCTCTGTGTACTATTAGTATCTTTCTCTCTCTCTCTCTCTCTCAGTAACTTAGTCAGTCATTCTCAGTATCTGGAATCACGTTCAAGGCGAGAACTTGATGGTCTTCGTTCGTCTACTGTGTTATTAGTATCTACTCTGAACAATCTAATTATGTTACAACTATCAAGGAACGGATTATAGAATACCTCTTGTGGTATATATATATATTATTCCCCTATTAGTTTAGTAACCCTAATCAAATCGGTAATACTTTGTCTTTATATTGTGTATCAATAAATGTGGATAATAGGGGGTGATATATATATATATTGGATTAATTTTAAAATTTAATACTATTTATTTTTATATATATATTCCTATTAGTTTATTCATTATCTCTATTTTTTATATCAATAAATATGGATAATAAGGGGTGATATATATGGAAATATTGGATTCATTTTAAAATTTAATACTATTTATTTTTATATATATATTCCTATTAGTTTATTCATTGTCTTTATTTTGTGTATCAATAAATAGAAACAATAAGATAATGGAAATATTAATTAATTTTAAAGTTTAACATATATTATATATATTCCTATTAGTTTATTCATTGTCTCTATTTTGTGTATCAATAAATATAAATAACAGGGGGTTATATATGGAAATATTGGATTAATTTTAAAATTTAATTATGTATTTTTATATATATATTCCTATTATAGTTTAACCATTGTCTCTATTTTGTGTATCAATAAATATGTGGATATTATAGGGTGATATAGAAATATTGATTAGTTTTAAAGTATATATTTTATATATTGTAATTAGTTTAACCATTGTCTCTATTTTATGTATCAATAAATAGAAACAATAAGATAATGGAAATATTGATTAATTTTAAAGTTTAACATATATTTTATATATATTTTTATTAGTTTAACCCCTTAACCTACGAGTTACGTTCGAAAATTTTTATTTTATTTTTATTTATTATATTAAATTTTTACCAAACATTTATAATTTTAAGAGGGCCCACCACTAATATTCCTTTTTGGATCGATCATCGTACCCGGGCTATACCCGTAGTTGTAGGTTAAAAGGTTAATCATTACATTAAACCTAATCAAATCGTTAATACTTTGTATCTATTTAGTATATCAATAAGTATGGACAAGTTAATGTGAACAATAGGATAAATATTGAATTAATTTAAAAATTTATTATTATGTATTTATATATATATGTGTTTTTCTTTATTTATATTTTAATTTTCAGGTATGCCGATCGAACGTATAGAAATCATCCTCGTGGATTAATAATATACGGTCCAGCTACCGTGTCAAATATTTTCGGAAACAATAACAACATCAGTAACAATGATATATCTTCGAAAATATTCGAATCAATTGGCAAAGGGAATACCAATGGAAGTGTTCTCACGAATGGTACCAAAACTGAGACTGCTGTCATTGCTGATGCTGATGCCGCTGCTGCTGTTGCTGGAGTATTTCCGACGAACAACAACAACGTCGTCATTGGTTTGCCTTCTGGAAGGCCTCAATATGCTTCGAATGCCACGAATAACGCGATGATGCAACAATGTCCATTGGTTGCACCGAATCTCGGTAAGATAAACTCTTAAATTCATTTACATTGAAATACATTAACTTGTATTTGTAATTCTTATATATATATATAAGTCTAGAAGAATAAATATATAATATATAATTAAATTAATATATTAATATATATATTAATATTTAATATATATATTA